GGAGGACTGGGCTGGCTCTGCGGGCTTCTCGGGGTGGAAGTTCTCCTGCAGCCCCCCGATTGTCCAGCACCCCTGGATGGCAGCCGGGCTGATGGCTGAGTGCTGTGATGTGCCGAGTGAGGGCGCTCAGGGCACTCCAAGACAGGACTGCTTTGCTGTCCCTCATTGAGCTAGACAAGCAAGTGGGGAACCCTGAGAACTGTCTGTCCGGGGTGGGGGTCGGGTTCCTTTAAGCACAGCCCTCGGCTAGCCTCAGGCAGCAGCTCCACACGCTAAGTCCTAACCTGATGTCCTGCTGGCACTAGTTCTGGCCAGCCTTAGCTTTGGTTCAGGGTCCACTCAATGTGGACATGCCAGTTCAAATTAGGAAAATGCTAATTCTAATTAGTTTTTAGGTCTATATGCACTAATTCGAATTAGCTTAGTTCTGTAGTGCTGTAGTGTAGACATACCCTAACAAGGCTACCCCTCTGATACTTCTCACCAAAACTGTTCCTTCCTGTCTACAGTGCTGTTCTTAGCAATGTAGTGTCCTGCTGCTGGAGTCCTTCCTTCTAAATGGGGAAGCTCCTGTCAGCTGCCCACTCCTGCTGGAGCTCTTCCCCCACAACAGGGCAAGATTTCAGCAGCAACTGAAAGCAGCAACAGTAGAGACAGGTTTTGGCAGCTCCTCACTTCAGGAGGCCTTCTCTTTCCACAGTGGAAGACTACCACCATGCCAATTTAGACAAAATGCTAGCAGGCTGCTGGAGTGTTAAAGGGCTGTGCTGTGCCAACAAACTTTTTACCAATGTTTAAAATAATAATCATGGTTTTCAGGAATTAATGAAAAGGAAGACAGACTTCTATCTCAAACTTATCTACTTTGCGATATTCTCCAAAGAAGCCTTTATTTCTTGTAAACAGTTGGAAAACAAACAACTTTTCTGTTTTGTTGAAAATTAAAAATCTCACTTCAGGACAGGTCATTCAATCTCCACCACTCCAGTCGGGCAAACAAAAGACATAACTGTCCCCTTCCTGTTTTGTATCATGTTTTATGGTGGGTCACATGTGACTAATGTATTTCTCATAGGAGAAGAAGCTATTATCCAACAGTAATATTTTAAAGGTTAGATATTTTAAGCATCTTCAAAGTAAGGAAATTTCTATTCAGGAGCAAATAAGTGGGTGTGAACTGAATCTCAAATGCAAGTAACACATACAGTGAGCATGAACTAGTTAGTGTCATATCTATACCCATAAGAAAGTAGCTCAAGATGTGTTTGGTAATTATTTATATATTGCCATTGCTATGCACAAACAATAAAATCCCTGCCCCACAGACTTTCTAGTCTAATTTAAACTGATAAAGATAAACAAGAACCCACTAGGCATGTGGTAGGAAGGGAACAAGAGAAAAAAAAAGAACTGAATACTATTGTCATAAAACCAAACAAATAACTGTCTGTCCCCCGAATATACAAAGTTTAAACAGTTTGAAATTGGTCGCTGAAGCTCATCAATTCTGAAGCAATAATTCCCTCATCTCTGGTCTATAATAGAGAGTTATTTCAAAATAATCCCCCTTATTTTGAAATAATAAGTGGAGCATCCACACTACCAAGCCTGTTATTTCAAAATTTGCAGGACTTGGGAAATTTGCAGGCCTGAAATCTGGGGTTGGTTATTTCAAAATCTGTACTTCTGCTTTCCTTGGGGAATAAACTTATTTTGAAATAGTTATGTGGGGAGCTATTTCAAATTTAGTTATTTCAAAATAATTTCCTAGTGCAGACATGCGCTCAGATACATGCTTTACTTTCTAGTGTGCTTTCCACACCTGCACATTTAATTAGTTTTTTCTTTTTTGGGATACTTTACAGAAACCACAGATGACAATTTTTCTTTGTAAGTGAACATAAAGGCCTACTTAATTCTGACCTTTTCACATGTAGCTAAATCTAAGAAAGAGGTAAGATGGTACGTTTTGATATGCACATGGACATGCACATCAGTAAGCAATTCTTCATTGCCATCAGGAAGAGCACACAGATAATAATCTACAGTAATAGCCAACAGAGCTGAATACTCTATGTACTACCAACATCATATATTTCCAAGCATGTTCATTCTAGAGCACTGCATGCACAGGATCATAATGGATTTGTTACATAAATACTTAAGTACATTCTTTACTGCACAGATCGCACTTCATTTTTATAATACTAAATAGTTTAGTTTGTGTTATAAAATTACCATGCAGTCAAGCAAAACTCTGTTCCTTTGCAATAAGCAACTCTTCAGGAATCTGAGTCTGTCTGGGAAATAGTTTAAATTATTTATATTCCTTGCTGTCCGTTTTACTGTAGAAAATACATACATATGCTTTTTATTTTCTCTGTTGCCAGATGACCCTCTGCCATCTGTTTGGCTGTGGAAACAGCTTTTTGTTATTTGAAAAAAGGGGGGGGGAGCAAAGCTTTTCTTCATTATATGGACAGTCTGGCATTTAGAAAGGACCTGGTCTTACGGCTGCTAGTGGAGTCACGTCTTTAATTTCTTACCAAGTGCATTATTATCTTGGCTACACTTCAGCAGCTATTATTTAATAGGTCAAAATACAAATACATGATATTATCAGAGATGTCAAGACCATATGATTACAGCCACGGAGGAAATAACAAAAGAGCAATCAAAATTACAGTTGCTATAAATACTTTTGGTTAAAGAGTTCTATGCATGGCCATTATATTTGTAAACATCAGAAGTTATTATCTGCATCTTTTTGAGCATTCAGCTGGTTGTGACAGAAGTTCACATAAAAAAAATAAACCTCATTCTAAGATGTGTTACATACTGTGACTTATTAAATAAATAAGAAGACATTATTCCCCTATCTTCACTGGTGTTTGTTATATCTTATTTTAAGGTTAGATTTTTTTCCTACTTATCTTTTGGAGGGGGGAATCTCTTACAGACTACATCTATGCAATTTTTCTGTCATGTCAGTCCACTAGTGTACAGTAACATAAAATGAAAGGTAGCAATTAACAGCAAAGTTTTTATCTTCTACACAATAAGTGCACCAAATCTCAAAATGGAAATGTTAATTTCTTACAGACGCATGTATCTTCTTTCAGCATATGTTGTAGTGGTTGGCATATTTTAGGAGCTTATTTTATTTGAACTATTTTTAATTTTCAAACTGTTACATTTCTGATCAACTGTTTTAATGCTATACTTTTCAAAAAATCCTGGAAAGACACCGTTATTCCTCAAAAGTTCAAATACTGAACAGGCCAAATCCATCAGTGGGATTCTACTAAAGCTGAATTTGGCCAATGGTATGTTAGCCTTAATCCATTTCTTCCTACCCCTCATTAACTGAAGCCTTCATCAAGTCAATCTGGGGCTTCACGCACACTTCCAAACTCCCTCCCCGTGTCTGAGGTGGTGGTAGCAGAGAAGATGGACAGTCTACCCTCAGAGTGCTAGGTACTTTACCGAAAAATAAAATACCTACAGCACCCTAAAGATCTTACACTTTAATAGCAGACTTGATTCAGCAGCTGAAAGCAGCAAGAACGGATACAATATAAGGAATAAAGAGTCAAAATAAGGTAATGAAGATAATCTGGTCTGGTGCACACATCTCTTGCTGGTTCCTTAATACACACACTTTGTTTTTCTTCCCATTTAGCCAAAAGTCCCAAAACTAACAGTCCATCCATATTGGCACTCTCCATGTAGCTACGTGATTCCATTTTTATTTGCACATGCATGGGCAGTATGTACTCTACTTATTTGCAAAACTGTTTATATTACAGTCTTCAATTTGCAGATGCTCATAATGTTCTACTTCTACGTTATGGGCTAAGATTTTCAATGCCTGGTCTTTATCTCAACAGGATTTTATTTTAATTTGGGGAAAATTCTTCAGGTCATTTTTGAATTGTTAAAATGTGAAATGAAGATTTTTATCAGTGCTTGGAAAAAAGCTGCAATCTGTTTTAGAGAATTTCTAAGATATGTCACCAAATTTTACCTTTTCATTATGCCTTTCATGAATCCCAGATTGCCTTTTTTTTTTTTTTTTAAAAAGGCAGAGGTTAATATGCATTTCTTTACCTAGGAGGACGAAGTGCCTCTAATATATAAAACCACCATTTTAACGTTCTAGCCTTGTGTGAATACATATTTGAAAGTTAACTTGGCATTGAGAATTTTGCAAAAAATATATTTGATCAAATTTAGTTTTCAGTAAGCAAGGCAATTTGAAGTCTATTATATGATTTATCAATAGAAAACAAAAAACTCTGCTTGGCATCTGAAAAACAACAGATCAGCATCCTCTTAGGATACGATCATGTATAGGATCAACAGAAAGAATCAATACCAATGCAACCGTAATTCACAACATGTAACGTCATAAGGAGAAAAGATTTAGAAAAGGGAAAATCTAGTACAAATGAATAAACTGGTCTATAAAGCATTTAAACCAGATGGGGGGGAAAGCATGAAATGAACCATTGTGAACACCCAAGATTGAGGAGAATAATTAGGCAAATCAAGCTCTGAAAATGCAGTAACACAGGGACCAAGATGTTAATGGAAGTACTGGGAGATCCTCAGAATAATTGACAGTTAAAAATACAAGTGCTAATTCTTTATGAACTGGGCTTAAATGCATGTTTTCATATGGAGCATTTTTACTTTTTAATCATAACTAAAATATTCAAGGGGTTTTTTTTAATGGAGAAAGAAAATTTAAATTTAAACCTAGAGAATGTTCGACCATGTATTGTTTTATGTGCTGTTATCTGCTCTTCTGGAGAATGAACAGGTTCAGTATTTAAAAACTCTACATGAAAAAATTATTTTTTACCATCTCCCCAGTAATTCTCCCCAGGAATATAAGACTTTCTCGGGACAATCCTTAGATACATCACCAGTACCACTTGAGAGTTCGTTATCGCTCTCTGCAAAGAAATAAAAACATGCACAGATTTACCAAAGAGATAATAGATTTTTTTTAAATAACTTTTTTTCCTGACAAAACAATTATATAACACTACAAAGACAGAAAATACAACTGAATATGGAAAGCTTCAGGATTTGGGCGGACGAGTGTAAGATGAAATTTAAGACGCAGAGATTTAAAACAACACACTTAGGGCATGTCTTCACTATGGGACAGATCAATAGGGCAGTGATCAATCCAGTAGGGGAGTGATTTATCGCGTTGAGTACAGATGTGTCAAATTAATTGCCGATTGCTCTCCTGTTGACTCTGGTATTCTATCACACTGAGAAGAGCAAGGGGAGTCAATCGGAGAGTTTTTTCTGTTGACTCCACCTGGTAAGGACCCTGTGGTAAGTAGAACTAAGACATGTCGATTTGAGTTATGCTACTAACGTAACTCAAATTGCATAACTTACGTCAACCTGTCCCTGTATTGTAGACCTGCCCATAGGAAAGAATACATAACAGACAGATTAGGGAACTATTACTTAGAAAGGCATTAAGTGAAGAAATTATCTGTGATACAATTAATAAGAGTACTACTGCCAAATAAAAGACAATTCCATTTCCAGGTTTTACATACTGAGAAATTTCCCATCAGCTAGAACAGATATTAGTCCTTTACATTGTACCACACCCAGAATAATATGTACAGTTCTTGCCTCAGGAACTCTGATTACATCTCACAGGGGCAAAAAGGCATCTTACTAAAATGATCTACAGAGGAGCACTAATAGCATGACTTGCAAGCTGAAATTATATGGGAAGTTAGAAGTGAAAAGGCAATCTCAGTAGCGTTAAGGGTAAGTGGCTTTGACTGAGTTAAATACAGAGGTAAAATGGATGTCATGAGTCTGTGAATCAGAAATTATGTTGAAGATAAGATTACAGGTAACAGTTTCTAAACTGCTTAAATTAGGAGTCTAAGTCCCATTCTGCAGATGGAGGACTGACATGTAGAGTTTTTAAGTTACTTGCCTGAGGTCACACACTGTGTCAAAGTTGAGAACTGAACTTGGATCTTTAGAGTCCCAGTCCAGTACTTTAACTACAGGAAAAACCCCTCTGTCTCACACGGGAATATTTCACATTGCTCTCACCTGACTTCCTCTAATATGCAGAATGATGCTGATGAATTTATGGCCAGGGTAGGGCCAGGTTATCCTGTCACAAGAATCAAATTATAGGAGACCCTTGTGGTTCACATACAGAGAGAAGTTACATCTATACAGCAGCTTTATTTCTAAATAACAAAAGGCGTGTCTACACACCAAGCCATTATTTTGAAATAATGGCAAGATGAAGGACTTCTTACTTCGACTCCAGTAACCCTCCTTTTACGAGGAGTAAGGGAAGTCAAAGGAAGATTGTTCCTTTGACTTCCTGCTGTGTAGACAGTGTCAAAAGTTGAATTAAGCTATTTCAACTTCACACAATTGACGTAGGTGAAGTTGCATATCTTAATTTGACTTTTGCCCTGCTGTGCAGACGTACCCTGAAATATCAGAGCAAGCACCATCACCAAAAATAAACACGATACAAAGGAGTCACCATCTATACAAACTTTTTCTTGGTCCCAACCACTGAAAGCACAGATTTCCAATTATACATTTACTAGTAATCCTGGATCTTCAAGCAAAATCTTAAAAGCAAAATACAAATAAAATATGGTTACATATTTGAAGCTAATATGTTTTTTAAGAGAATTGGCACTGAGCAGCCCAATCACCGTTCTTTTGTACCTCTCTGGCACCCCAAAGGAATGTCTGCCGTGTTCCTGTTATTCTTGTATGCCCAAAGTAGCTAAGCATAGTTCAGAGTAGGTCTGCTTATGCTTTAAATTTTGACAGAGGGCAAATTATCCCAAGAACCTACGGAGCACAAAAAGATGGCTTAAAGCAACTTTTGCCCCACAAGGGTGTGATGAGTTCAGACACACTCTTAAGATTCTTCCAAAATCCTTAATTTTCAACACTTCATTAGAAACAAGTTGATTTATTGTTAGCAAAAGTATTTCATGTAGAAAAGGTTTTCTCCAACATAGTTGCATGAATTCTCTCCTAACTAAAGCTTTATCACAGTCACTCTGACCCCAGTTACAGGTTCCTAATTAATAATCTCACCAGTTGTCATGTACAAGACATAAATGAAAATATATTAATCCTGGAATTTGACAATCAATCATGAGGACGAAGATTGCTCGTGTATTGCACCTCAAAGACACTCAAAGCCATGTGAACAGAAATACTGGTTTGGAAAATTATTAGAGTTCCGCCACCTCCCATTTAGATATATCAGACTGAGATTTAAAAAATGGGGTTTGGGGATTCATTCAAACCCAGGTCTCTCTTATTTCAGGACCTCTTGTAACAAGGGGTTATGCTGGGGGAATATTGCTGAGATAATGAATTCAGGGCAAACCAAAACATGGTTCCAAAACCAAACCAAACCAGAAGCAGTTTGCATATTTTCATTGGTATAAGGTTATCCAATTAAACTATGACCATATAGATCATTGTTATATATTTGCAACAAATCTTGTAAAAAGTGTCCCACGAGAGTTGTCTAATGAAAAGCGTACGATTCACTGGTTATGATTACACTGTGTGTGTGCATGTGTCATTTTTGTATTTGAAATTACGAGTATTGGCCATATAGTTTTATTTCAAAATGTTGGATTCTGAATAGCACCATGGAAGCGCTTGGCCAGCCTATTAAGAAAGGACTATTCCAGTTGATCAGAAATACTTAACTGACAATGGGCATTGGGAGGAGCTAATCCACATCTGATAAGAACTGAGTCATGCATGTACTTGTTTATTTGACTCCAAACTCCAGCTTGCTGCTGTAATTTTCTGCAGTAAGAATAATGGGTTTCCTTCAATGTGATAGCGGATATAAAAGGCCCCGGAAACCCCTCCATTTTGTCTTCAGTCCTGCTTCTTACCTCTGGAGGAATTTTTGCTACAAACTGAAGCTCTAAAACAAAGGATTGAATAACCTAACCAACCTGCAGATGTTTTAAAAAGACAATATAGGTCAGCAGTTTCTTTAACCTCTGAGACAAGCCTGAACCAGTATGTATTTGATTCCTCTAAACAATTTCAACTCTCATCCTTTCTTCTTTCCTTGATTAAACCTTTAGATTTTAGATACTAAAGTATTGGTAACAGCCAATGTTCACTCTAATTTTTTTCATCCATGTGTGCAATAAAATTCATTATGTGCACCAAGGCATGTGTGGGTAGGCACCACCAACAGAAACACATGCTGCTGGTTGTGGGTGCTCTGCTAATCATTTGAATCTCTCCTGGGTGGCTGCCCAAGCACTCAACTTACAAGGAACACTGGTAAGAGCATGATTTTGGGGTAAGACATGGGGTGTGACTGGTCCTCTGGGATCAGAAGAACCTTTTATTCATAATACAGGGAAACTGAAGCACCTGAAGGAATAGCTTGTATGATATTTTGTCAGCTTTATGGTGAAACAGAAGTGCTCTTTGTCCGGTTTGGTATACCTTGTAAGTGGAGGAACCCGAGTATTGGGCTGAGTGGCCTAGTTTCTAAGCAATTTGTCCTGAATTGATACTCTCAGTAGTGTCCCACAGAATACCCCTTGTTACAATAGGTCCTGAAATAAAGGATACCTGGGTTTGAATGAATCCCTTCCCCCCCACACACACACTTTTTTTTAATCACAATACAATCCTACAGGCAAAATTTTGATTAGATAGATTCAGAACCTTTCGTGAAAAGTGGAAACACTGAGCTCAGAAAATCAATTTTTCCTTATAAAGCAAGGATACAATTAGGTATACCAAAAAATAAGATGCCCAAGGAACTGTACTATATTGTCCAGATCTACAAAGTATATTATTAAATTCTAATACAAATAGAAAATGTTGTGGACCCATCCTCATTTGCCTCACAACCTGAGGAGTAATTAAAAATTAAAAAGTAATTGACAAAAACAAATAAAGTTCGCCCCTGCTGATTTTTCCAGCTGAATCAGGTAGTTTCTACACTGAAATGGGATTTCTGTTACAGTCATAGGCGTGCGCACAGGCCGGGTGTGCCCAGGAACACCCTAATGTCTCGGACAGCTAGCGGCTGCTGGGGGAGAGGGGGATTTGAGATGGGGAGCCGCAGCCCCTCACTTTCCCTGCAGCCATCTATGGGGCACTTTGGGGCAGAGAGAGGGCGTGCGCGGCAGAAGCAGCTGGGCCCTGACCACAGACACTGGCCCGAGCCATTTTTGCGCCCCAGACCCTGTCTGGCCTGGCAGCACGGTGTGGTGCCCCTTCTGCACCCAGGGGTGCCCCTGCCTAGCCTGCAGCACCACGTGGTGCCCTTTCTGTGCGCACGGCCCCGTCCCCATCACCGTCCCAGCAGCACTGCACGGCGCCCATTCTGCACCTGAGGCCACAGCCCCGTCCTCGTCCCCACCCAGCCTGGCAGCACCACGCGGCGCCCCTTAAAGTGAGATGCCCCAGGCTAGGGCCCAGCCAGCCTGTAGCTTGGGCCACCTCTGACTCCAGCCCCACAAACTGGAAGGCAGAAGCCGGCTTAGCCAAAGGTAAGGTAAGGTAAGGGAAGGGAGAGGAGAGGAGGGGAAGGGAGAAAAATAGGGGGCAGGGGTGGGAGAGGAAGGGACTTTTTTTTCCTGGCCTGGAGCTGGGGCCTTATCACAGACTCCAGCGCTGCAAACCGGAAGGAAGAAGGTAAGGTAGGGTAGGGTACAGTAGGGTGGGGGAGGAAGAGGCTTATGCTGAGGGAAGGGGGGCGGGTCAGGAGAAGAAAGGGGAAGGCACCAAGGGACAGGATAGAGGAGAGACAAATGCCAGGGAGCCAAGTGGAGACAACGAGGAAAAGGACAGGAGGGGAGGTGTCAATGGGAGGGGGGACAGGATGATGCTGGGAGAGGATAGGGCCACTCTGATCATCTGAGCTACCCCT